GTGTCCCATTGATATCCTATCCGTGTCCCATTGATATCCTATCCGTGTCCCATTGATATCCTATCCGTGTCCCATTGATATCCTATCCGTGTCCCATTGATATCCTATCCGTGTCCCATTGATATCCTATCCGTGTCCCATTGATATCCTATCCGTGTCCCATTGATATCCTATCCGTGTCCCATTGATATCCTATCTATCCGTGTCCCATTGATATCCTATCCGTGTCCCATTGATATCCTATCCGTGTCCCATTGATATCCTATCTGTGTCCCATTGATATTCTATCTGTGTCCCATTGAGGTCCCATTTATGTCTAATAGAGAACCAATTCATGTTCTATTGAGATCCAGTTGGTTATCTATCGAAATTCCATGAAGGTCCTAAGGTCCTATTGAGATCCCATTTGTGCCCCATTGAGATCCCATTTGTGCCCCATTGAGATCCCATTTGTACCCCATTGAGATCCCATTCTTGTCCCATTGAGATTTAATTTTTGTTTTTTTGTGTGACTTTTTGACTGTCTATTCTGTTACTATGGAAACTAAATCATAATCTAGGTTGCTATGATAACTGGTGATAATCCACTGACTGCTTGCTATGTTGCTAAGGAACTCAAATTTTCAAAGAAACCATCAACACTGATTCTCACACCACCTGACACAAAAGGTAAGTGGCCAATACCCTGTGTTCATTGCTGAGTTTTGCTGTAGGTTTCAGACGGTTTATAAGATGTATAATGTTTTCTGCTTACTTATTGATGTATTCTGCTTTTTTATTGCTTGTAGATTCTGATTGGCATTGGCAGTCTGTTGATGACACAATTACATTACCCATGATTCCAAAAGGTGGAGCCAACGAACTCATTAAGAACTATGACCTTTGCATGACAGGAGAGGTAGGCAATGTATCTTGGCCATCTGTCTGACAAAATTTCTCAGAATTGTCTGGACTGATTTGATTTTGTCCAAAGTTGTCACAAAAATCAGACATAATGATTTACACCTTGATTTGTTTTTGTTTTTTTCCTTGATCTTTGACCAACTGTCATTTTTGTTTTAAAAAACATGTCATCAACCATTTTCAGCCATGCCTATGCACTATGATACTTTTCAAGAATTATGTCAGTAAAGCATAATCTCATTTCATTTTTCAATTCTTTTCTTTCAGGGTATGACTCAATTACTGAGTGTCAATACAAAGCTTTTCAATTCCTTACTCCCTTATATTAAAGTATTTGCAAGAGTGGCACCAAAACAAAAGGTGAGTGAAGTAAATTGTCAACTCCCCTTCACCCAATCAAATGCTGTTGAATCATATCAGTCTTTTTTCAAGGTCAAACTGCAGTTAATGATCTAACATGGATATATTCCAGACAATCATGTAATAAATAACTCCCACCTAACTAACTATGTTGTTAAAGTTATATTCAGAGATCATTCAAAAAAATTGATTGTGGTCTTGGAACGTAGCATATCAAGGATTTATAAGATAAGGAAATGCAACTTTGATAACCATGTACGGTGATATGTGATGAGGATCTCGCGAGAAGCAAAATCTTGTTCTTTACGAGCAAAAGCGATCCTATTCCATGCATATAAATTGAATTAAGTTCTAACCAATAACATCACAGAATACACTGGAGACTTGGAATGTTCAGTTATGTCAACAGGAATGGGCGAGATTTGCTACGTTCACACGACAGCATTTTATCGGAGCCCTACGGCTCGAGCCAGCAAAAATGAACGTGTGAACGCGTTCGGCTTGAGCCGGCTCGAGCCAAGTTCGGCTCCACTAAACCCTCGGGGTTGAACTCCGATAGGGTTGAGTCCCGACATGGCTCCGATCGTGTAAACGCATCAGGGCCCAACTATCGGAGCCGAAATCACGCCCTCAATCGTCTTCTCCAAGAAACCTATCATTTCAATTATGGTGGAGACAACATATTTCGTAATTTCACGCAATTTCCGGCTTGAAGAAGAGTTACGCGCCCTAATATACACTTGGCAGAGCAAAGAATTACTGCCAGATTGATTGATAGCTCGACGGAAAACGGGAAAATGGCGTACGACATTATGCAACAAAAACTTGAAAGAATGACTGAACGGAAACTTTTTAAAGACACCAAAGAAAAAATCGTAGAAGCGATCTAGTAGGTTTAGATTCTTCCGCAGTCCCTCTATGACAATAAATAATAGGTTGTAACACATTTTAGCTGGCGTGTTTCCTGTTTATTCGAGGTACTAGTACATGTACCTATGGTAAATAATAAAATTAGTGCATTGTCTTTTCTACCTCCATGCTCAGACTCGCGACTTTTTTTTTCCTAGCCCATCAGCATCGTGCCATGTAAAGAAACAAGACAAACACGACACCAAAATCGATTTCAGTACAGTTTTTTCATACTCATTATTCGAGGGCACTGTTTGGCTCTGATCGAACTGAATCGAACTCTGGCAGATCTCGGCTCTCGTTCGGCTCCCGACCGTATGAACGCATTGTAGATAATCTCCTGTTAATCAGTGGGAGGAGCAGTAGTTCGGCTCTGATAGAATGCTGCCGTGTGAACATACTAGCAATTATTACTGCTTTAAGAAGCGCAAGTTTACACGCTTAGTAAATAAACAAGGACACTACCAAAATTGATCTGAGATGCATATGACTCAGTTCTTTCACTTATTCACTAATTTGTATTGGGGGTTTCTCTTGATATTTTGGAACACAATTCATTGGCAAACGAAATTCAACTGTTGAGAACATGAAATGGTTGTTGGGGAGTAAATGTACGAACGTGATAGAAAACACAACTCTATAAAGTAGTAATCGTAACGCAAATATAAATTGGCGAGAATGTGTACGATAGGTCAATAACATCTCGCCTGTGATAGGCTAAAATTAAAACAATCTGATTGGCTGAGAGATTTATCTCAGAATCCGAGACGTAACGTTACATGACTGCTTCTCTAAATTCTCCGCGCCTCAAAAATAAAAACATATGAAAATGTATGTCTACTACATTATCAATGAAATCATGTACTTCGAACAATAATAACAGTATTGGATAAAAGATTCAAGTAAATAAAGTGTCCACGGAAGGCGTTTCAGCCGACTGTCCATATTTATTTTTTGAATATTACGATTAAAAACATAATAATGAAATTGAAATTTCGAAAGTCACATTAAATCAGCAATTCTTATTCGGACTGCCACGGCAGAATCCCTGGTTGGTCGCTTAGGAATA